TGGAAGCTACTAGCCTGGTCCACTATGTTCAGGGCACAAACCTTTTGGTTGGGTTTCCAGCCTCGGCATTTCTTCACATCCAACCCTATCCGGTGGTTGAACTCAGACACTCGCAAGGACTGCGCAGGCAACGGAACGCTAGGCTTCTGTTGGCCTCGGCAAAACCCGCAGGAAAACTCCTTTGCTAAGCGAAAGGCTTGATCGCTTGCTGGTCTATGCTTGAGGATCCGAAGCAAGTCAGCATTAGGTGGGTGACCTAACAACCCTTTCAACAGTTCTGCATCAGGCTTTTCGGAACGACTGGAAACTGCATGTACTTGGTGCCATGGGAAAGTGTCCGGCAACCATTTTTCTTCGACGTCTAACACTTCGTGCGCTGATTCATGGTCTCGAAACCTTGGAAGCGTGCGCAACATTGCTAACACAAACTCATGCTTTGTGACTAGCCCGAACTTGAGGCTAGCTCAGATACTTTAGACCACCTGTAGTTGGACTTGTATTTCGTGAACATGAACTTGTAGTTCTTTAAGTTGCATAAGTAACTTGTAACTTGCACAAGTTCTCTGTGTCTAGCTGAGATAATGATAAGTAACTTGTGAACTTATGCTACTTATGTTGGGTGAACTTAAGGAACTTATTTTGAACTTATTTTTAGCTATTGTTTAGCTATTTGTAGCTAATTTTTAGCTATTTTTGAATTTATTTTTAGCTGTTTTTCATATCATTTTCAATAGATTTGGTGATTTTTTGAGGATTTCTAAGACAATTTTTGAAGACATTTTCACATCAGTTTTCAAATTTTGTAGATTGAGATCGTTTTTTTTTGGTGGTTGGAAGCGACCTTAGCTCTTTGCAGCGGCTTTCGGGACGCTCTGTAAGTGGGGAGTCTTGCGGTTGATAGCAGTCACCATTGTATTCACATTCGTTTCACCAACATGCATGAAACTGAACATTCCCATATACGTATGGAACTATTTTCATTCACAATGATCTATATGCACATCTTCAAATTGTTCGAGTCTGTTTTGAAACACTTGCCATTGATATCGCTGTGATGCCTGCAGTTTTGTTTTTGTGGGCTGGCAGTTGAATCCATGTCGGACTTGCACAGCCACCTTGTGTCTGTGAGACAGTTCTTGGCAGCCATGCGAAATAAGGGGGATTTCGAACGGCTGCGTGAAGAACTGCGTGAAGAAATCTGAACGTATCGGGATGTATCGGAATGTATCGGAACGTGTCGGGCTTGATTTTCGGCTAGAAAACCTATCCCCGATACATTCCGATACATCCTGATACATTCCGATACGTCCCGATACATGATAATCAAACTCCGTGTCCCCAAAAAAATAAAACAACATTTTGGGTTAATTTTTCATCATAATTGTCAACCACCAATTGTCTTGAGTTTGAATCGCCATTTGTCAACTGTCAAGTCATCACTGCAACATTGTCGTAGCTTTTTTGGTTGTTCAACCTTTGTGAGTGTCTTAGCTGGCATCGAGCAAACATGGTAAGGACAAGGCTTATCATCAACGTTGGCAGTACGAACCGGACCCTGCCAAACGAGAATTTCAAAGCTTATGAGAGATTAAAAAAAAGCGGCCCTCGGGGCGCTCCGAAGCTGTTTGCTGTGATGTTGTTAAAAAAGGAGTTGAGGTCGCTTCCAACCAAAAAGATCCAAAATCAAAAAGCAAAAAGAGCGTCCAAAATGGCCGCCTCATGATTTTTTAGAATTGAATCAGTTTGTGACAAAAAGCTCCCAAAATCATCAATTTTGCAAAATCTCATTTTGAACTTATTTTTAGCTAATTTTAGCTATGTTTAGCCCTTTTTTTAGCTAATTTAGCAATTTTGAACTTATTGAACTTATGTTATTATATAAGTTCCATAAGTTCAACATTAAGTATCTCAGCTGGATTCAAGTACTAACGAGTGATAAAGTGGGCGTATGCAGCAGTGAACTCACGCACCTTGGGAACACCTGGAGCACTACCACTGACTAACCGTGTCATGGCACCTACGGTTAGGACGGTTAGGATTCTCTGGGCCTGGAAATGTAAGACCAAGCGCCAACATGTCTTAATTCACTACTGGCTAAGAGTCTGGTGCTCTTACGGGTCAGGCGCTCACTTGATTGCAAATGCAGGTTGCACCTGCGCATGTGGAGCTTCACAGTTTGAAACTTCCGGCAAAGAGTCAACATCTCAGGATAACTCCAAGTCTTGGCTCCAGTTGGGTGTTCGAACACAGCTTCACGACCGGCAGATGTCTGGATTCTGAATAGCTTGCAATACCACCTGATGAACATTCGGCTTTTGGCAACTCTATGCAGATACTCCCAATGATCCCACTTTGTGCTGTTTAGGTGGAACCAGCCTCCCTTATATATCAGTGCATGGCATGGCGGGCAAAGCATCAGCAGATTCGGCTTGAGGGTGACCAGGTCGTGCTCGACTTTCCTACGATCGGCGCTGCTGGCGAAGCCAAAACCATTCTTTAGATCATATAGGACTTACCTGTCAAACTTACTGACTCGGCGACTGGGGTCACAGGAGGATGCGAAAACACTTCCATGACCAAAAGTCGTTCATGCGAGGCTGACATGCTTTTAGCTACATTGCCACATGCGTTGACCTGCGCATTCAACTGCCGCACTTGGTGAGGGGTGAGAAAACAAGGAGACTCTGGAACATCACTGCAATCAGACACATCACAGGGTTCATCACCGAAACTCGGTCACGACATGACTTGAATGGGACGGCAAACGAACCATGGGCTTATGTTGCCAAGTGCCGGGAATTATTTTTTGTTGGTTCAGAATGCTTATCAGCAGCATCCCTTACTATGCTTTCTCTAACCTGAGACCGCCTGGGAACCATACCTAGACAACCACGGCGCTTGGACCCTCTGGCAGTCCCCTTGGGCCCAGGACGACAGGCGGACGGATGCATCGGATGCTTCAGGGCCAGTTGATTCCTTGGAACTAGCGGGTCTGCAAGCATTCGAGGCCTGTGCACCGCTGTCCAAGGCAGGACTGATGTCAGCGGTTGCCATCATGATCTCATCAGCAACAGTGTCCCCAACCCCCAAAGGAGAACCCATGACATCAACGATATACTGGCCAGCACTGTTGGTGCGAAGTTGAATTGGCGGACTTCCCAAGATAGACAAAGTGTCCTTCTGGAAGTCCAACTGCGCTCCCAACTTTTTGAGAGCGGACCTGGAAGTCAGCAACGGAGCAGATCCCTGTACAATTAACGCTCTAATGACACCGCGGTGAGGACCAAGAGGCACAGGCATGGCTACACCAATGTGGCTGGTTTCGACCTCCCCATTGCCAAAACAGAATTGGTCGCGCTGAATTCATGCCACGCTGGCGCCACAGTTTCTCAAACTCAGTCAACGCAGAGGAACCGACAATCGTTCGACCACATCCAGAGTCCGGTACTCCGAATCCAGGGCTTGACCAAATTGATCTCTTCAGCATCTGAGCCAGAAGTCTTCAGGGAACATCGCATGCGCACTTGATCCAGCAACGTGCTGGGTAGTGGCTCCACTGCAGCGATTAACGAGGGCACAATGACCAGCGCAGCACCTGTGGATGCATTACAGAAGGAGCAGCTTGACTCTTGTTCCCCTCCCCTTGGCCCTTGGCTGGAGCTGAGCGACATTCACGAGCCCAATGGCCCCTCTTGCCACACTTGCGGCAAGCAGTGTTTCTTTTCAGCTCCTCCACCTCGATTCGATAAGCACGGCAAACATATCGTGCCTTTCCAAACTGTCGATTCTTCTGCAGACAATTGGGTTCCTGACGTTTGTCACGCCACGAAGTCGCCAGCTCCTCAGCGATGTCAGATATCTGGAACGTCTCTTGAGGCTCTGCCTCCAAGGATAGCTGGTGATCCTCCAGAATAGCTGACCAACGTCTCGGAAATCTTCAACCTCATCCAAGTCGTGGTCTTCCACGGCTTAAGGTCTCATTTTCCACCAGTGCAACAGCCTTCCGACGGGAGACTGTGAGATCAGGGTAACAGGAGCGAAGAGCTATGGCTATTGACTTTCTCTTCAAGCCCCCACGAGCTCGGGAGATGACCACTGCACGCAGTTCATCCGAAAGTCTAGCTCTGTTCAACATGATCCATCCCCTAGCTTCCTCTGGAAACTGCACTCCGGTTTTTCTGGAGCAGCGATCAAACATCTCAGTCGCTCTGGCAGTCAATTGTTTCATCGATTCACCATCCTTGGAATTGAGGCCAAAAACTTCACCCATGATCTCGCTCAGCTCATCAGATGCATTTTTTTGAGGGAAATGGGCATCAAGAAGTCGCCAAAAGGACAGTGTCACCGCCTTTGACTTGATACTCCTCGGGCTTGACATGCTCGACAGCTTCCAGCGCCTTGCCACTGAGCAAGGTATAGATGTAAGGTCCACGAGCAGCTTCACCCAGCTTGTCCATAGCGATTATCTTGTTCACAGCCCATTGCTTCCATCGTGTGTACCCCCTGGCGTCGTCATTGTCGCCACTGAAATAGCGAACTGAGCCACCAGTGGTTTCAGAAGGTCAGGTGTCACCAACCTTCGCCTGAAGGTCTCAAGGTTCCATGGCTGGAGGAGCGTGCCGTTATTGGCAGGCTCCGCTACCAATAGCGGAGATCCTTTTCCTCCTTGGGGAAAACGGTCGGGCGCCTCCTTTTCACCTGTGCCGAGAGGTTCCCTGCGACGGACGGGATGCAGCAAAGACCCAGCTGGTCACGCGTCGAAACAACATTCATATAATATATACATATATATATATAAGCCTTGCTTTTGGACGACTGCAGTCAGCTTGCGGGGGCGCCTTCAAAGTCATCACATTTTGAGAGATTAAAGACAAGCTGAGTTCTTGTGTTTCCATCCTCTGAACTGCTCCTGTCGTTGTATTGCTTTTCTGCACGACACAACACAGTTTGAGGTTTGTGATTGTCAAAAGTTCAAAATATTGCCTGTGTGTGGAAAGTAGGAAACTTTCTCGTGGCAGAGAAGTGCAACGGTACGCTGTGCAAATGGCATCCCAGATGAACAAGTACATGCAGGCCCGCACAAACTCGCATTTGAGGGCCTTTTGCTGCAAAATTATGGCGGCAAGAATTCCTTTGGATTGCGCCAACAAAGCCTAAACCTAAACATTCAAAATATCGAGGGCTCCACATGCTGCCAAAGTATGTGTTCCAAACAATTCAATCAAAGATGGTTGCAGTCTGTTGTGGTTCACTTTGGATAGGATAGACGCTCAACAACATGTCCTTGGTTCCATTGGGAAAAGTTCTCGGCTCCATGCAGGACAGGGCTACTGAATAGGTTAGACGAGGATAGTGCGTGCTTTGGGCAGCTCTCGGTTTTGGTAGTTGCAATTTGTTATTGTACCGTTTTTATTGCCCTCTTGTATTCTCTTCTTTCTCTTCTTCTGTTTCCTCGTGTCCGTCTTTGTTTTCCTGTGCCTCTTTTTCTTCTTTGTTTTTGGCGTTTTAACAGGCGTTTTCCTTCTCCTATTTTTCTTATATATGTGGTTTCTTCTTTTTCTTCTTCTGTCCTGATCTTCCACGTCTGCAGCACCTTCCCGTCTTCTCCTCGCTTTGCTTCCTCGTCGTGCTCTTCTCCTTTTGGGTGTTGTCGATGCTGCTGATGTTGTTCTTCCTGTTGGTCTATCACTGCTTCTGCTCTTGCTCTTGCCGGTTCTGTCACTAGTTCTCACTACTATGATCTGTTCTGGTTTGTCGCGAAAGCTAGCTTCTGCTAGCTGAAGCCCCTCTTGCTTTAGCAAGGTTTGAGGGGGCTGGAATCCCCAATCGCGAGAAACTTTGCAATTAATTACCCCCCCCTTCCCCCCCATCACAAGTAGTTTGGCCGTGGGCTCAACCCTCGCCGGGTCACCGTCAGCAACATCAACATCGATATCCTCTTCGATCCCCACTTTACACTTTGCACTCCCCACACTGCACTCTTAACTCACTTTGAACTTGGCACTCCACACTCTAATTTTACACTTGGCACTCCACATTCCACCCTCGAACTCTACACTGCACACTCTACACTTTACACTTTACGCTCCACACTCTCCACTTTACACTTTGCACTCCACCCTTTGCACATTACACGTCACTTTTTACACTTTATACTTGACACTCCACACTCTACACTCTACGGATTACACTCTGCACTTTACACTTGACACTGGGCACTACACTTTGCACTGAACACTCTACATTTTACACTTCGCGCGGTACACTGTACACCACGCACTCCACACACTACACTCTACACTCCGCACTTTACACTTACACTCCGCACCTATAGTTTACGCTTTACATTTTACACTTCACACTTTACACCTGAAACTCCGCAGCTTACGCTGTACTCTTTACACTTTACACCCCACTCTACACTTCACACTCCAAACTCTACACTGCATTCTGCGCATTATACTACACTTGACACTGCGCACTCTATATATACACTTTACGCTCCACACTCTACACTTTACACTTCGTTGACCACACACTCTACACTTTTTATCTCACACGTGACACTTGACACTCCACACTCTACACTTGACCCTCCACACTCTGAACTTTGGACGACATTCTACACTCTACATTTTACACTACACTCCACACTCTGCACTTTACACATCTTTACACTCCACACTCTACACTTGACACCCCACACCCCACACTCTGCACTCTACACTTCACGCTCCGCAATCTACACTTTACATTTCACACTGTACACTGTACGCTCCACACTCTACACTTTAAAACCCACACTCTACACTTTACACTTTCACACTTTACACCTTCCACTTCACTTTTCATCCTCACAACTTTACACTTGTCACCCTTGTCCCTGAATGGAACGCTGGCCTAGCTTCATTTTCACGTTGCGCACGCACGCCCACTTCACGTCCTCAACTTCGGCTTTGCACTGTGTACTTCTTCCCGCGCTGCCAAAGGTCCACTCCGATGCCGAAGGTGGACCTTTCCATCTTCCCCAATCACTAGTCATCATGCCGGCTTTGCTGCATGACACTCTGCACTCTACACTTTACTCTTTACACTTTTCAACCCACACTCTACACTCTACACTCCAAACTCTACACTGCATTTTGTATGTTGTACTCTACACTTCACACTGGGCACTCTATATACACTTTACACTCCACACTCTACACTTTACACTTACACGCTGCGCTCTATAGTTTGAAGTTTACATTTTACACTTCACACTTTACACCTGACACTCCGCACTCTACGCTTTACTCTTTACACTTTACACCCCGCACTCTACACTTTACACTCCAAACTCTACACTCGACACTCCACACGTCACACTCCACACATGACACTGTCCACTCTATTTGCACTTTACACACCACACTCCACACTTTACACTTTGCACACCACACACTCTACACTTTACACTTCACACGTGACACTTGACACCCCACACTCTACACTTCACACTCTACACTCTGAACTTTACACTTGGCACACTACACTACATTTTACTCTCCACACTCTACACTATACACTTTACACTCCACACCTTACACTTTTATACACTGTACTTTGTATGCTCCACACTCTACACTTTACAGTCCACACACTCTAGACTTTACACTTTACACTTTCACACTTTGAACCTTACACTTCACTTTTCACACTTTACACTCCCCACTCTTTTCTTTGCATGTCACGCATTACACTTTAGACTACGCACTCCACACTCCACACTCTACACTTTACACTCCACACCTACACTTCGCACTCCACGCTTTGTTCCCTCCACACTCTACACTCTTTACTTTACATTTTACACTTCATAGTTTACACTTGACACTCTGCACTCTACACTTTACTCTTTACGCTTCACACCCCAGGCTCTACACACCACAGTCCAAAGTCTAGACTCTACATTCTACACATCATACTCTACACTTGACATTTTCCACTCAATATATATATATATATATATGTGTGTGTGTATATATGTACGCTTTACACTCTAGACTTTACACCTCACACTTGACACTTAACACTCCACACTCTACACTTTCACTCTCCACACTCTGAACTTTACACTTGACACTCTACACACTTACATTTTACACTCCGCACTCCACACTCTGCACTTTACACATCTTTTCACTCCACACTCTACACTTGACACCCCACACCCCCTACCCCACACTCTGCACTCTACACTTTACACTTCACACTGTACACTGTTCGCTCCACACTCTACACTTTACAACCCACACTCTACACTTTACACTTTCACACTTTACACCTTACACTTCGCTTTTCACCCGCACAACCTTACACTTGTCACACTTGTCCCTGAATGGAACGCTGGCCTAGCTTCATTTTCATGTTGCGCACGCACGCCTACCTCACGTCCTCAACTTCGGCTTTCCACTGTGTACTTCTTCCCGCGCTGCCAAAGGTCCACTCCGATGCCGAAGGTTGACCTTTCCATCTTCCCCAATCACTAGTCATCATGCTGGCTTTGCTGTCTTTCCTTATCCTCTTCGTGCAACACTACATCAAAGTCATATGTTCTCATCCTCGTCCCCTTCAACATACATCGCCCCAATACGTAGGTTTGGAATGGTTTGGATGCTCATCTCACCAACATGCCGCAGCTTCAGACCCGCTCGTCCACTTTGACGAAAAAACTGAACAACTGCGCTGTGCCCTTTGTGTTTTCATGCCAAGCTCCCTGCCAAGCTAGCCTTCGTCCCTTGCCCTTGGGCTTCAAGTTTTGCTCTTCTTGCTGCTGTAGTCGTTGTTCTTGGTGGTGGTGGTTGACCTGTCGTTGGTCGTTGACTCTTGGTGGCTAGTTTTCAGCTGGTGCTTGTTGGTGTCCTCGGCGATGGTGTGGTGATAAGATAATTGGAGGAGCAGGAGGGTAAAAAAAAAAGGGTTCATGCATAGATAAGCGGAACCAGCGACTAAACATAGCATAACACAGGAATTAATGCTGAAGATTACAAGCTTAAAGGTTCCGCAAACATGACCATAGCCGCAGACAGGTTGCAAACGGTTTCACTTGGTAAACGTTTCATGCTGGTCTCTGTGGTCAGTGCGTGTGTGCAGTGTCCGTGTTGTGTTTTGCCCAGACCTGACATAGATATAGGGATCAACGCCGGTTTCTTGCACAAAAGGAAACCATGAGAAGAAGCTGGCTACCTAGAATGAAACAAAAGATCCAGGAATATCCAGGAACCATTTTTCATGGTTTTCGCGCAGCCTGGCACTTTCTTTGAGCAAAACATGGTGGCAAGAGCCTACCTGTGCACAAACAAGTCCCTTTGCATGTGTACCCTATATATCCTCCAACAACGTACTGTGGGCAGGAAAAAACTGTGGCATCTCCAACAGGGCAGATACAAATCACCTGGAAATTTTCCAGGAATTTTGCGGAGAACCAAATCACAATCAGATCGCAATCCGGCCAGTTGTTCCATTATAGATTGTATACGCTGCGCAAATTGCACAATGTTTTTCATGAAGCCAAGGCCCATCACAGAAGTAGAACTTAGCGGTTTTTCTGTCCATGAATACATATGTGTTTAGAGCCACTTGCATACTTTCAAGCACAGAAATGCATGTAGTTTCGTTAGTGGCCCTATGCATACAGCATCATACAGCTAACCTCTCAGTGAATGAACAACAAAGCCGAGGCAAAATGTTGATGATGTGAGCTGGAGTTGTGTGAGAAATCTAATTAGAATCTCGGTCTTTCGGGACTAGCACTATCCTGTACCACGCACGTTTCCAATCCAACTATATGATATGTGCGTGCAATGAGTTTTATCTGTATAAACACATATATACATATACGTATAGTTATTTTTATATAGTTATTTTTTTTATATATAGATAGATATTGTTTGTATATATATATATATTATTTACTGTCATATTTGCATATATCTATATATATTTATATATATATATATATTTATATATATATATTTATATATATATATTATTTATATATATATATTTATATTTATATATTTATATATATATTTATTTATTTATTATTATACTATATATTGCATAGATTATACGTTGTAAATTACATATTATTTGTATTTTTTATTCTTTAGTGTATATAGATATATATTATATCATATATATTTTATCTATTAGATATATATTTGTTACATATTATATCTATTTTATATATATATGATACATATTATATCATATATATAGTGATATTTGTTTATATGTATATATTACTATTTTTCAATATATTATTTTTTCATATACTATGTGACATTTATTATATATTGTATTTTGCGTATTTTGCATATTATATATTTTATTTATTTATATTGTTTTTACCATTTTCTAAAGTATATGTTTTTTATTTTAAATAATATCTATTATGTATATTGTATTATTGTTTATGTATTTACAATTGATATAATAAATATATATATATTATATTATATTATATACATATGTTATATATGTAATATAAATATAAAATGTATTTTAAAAAAAAATACACAATATCTATCATCATATTATATTTAAAAAATTTGTTTATATACAATTTGCATTATATATATAATATCTATGATATATATTTTATATATTTTATATTGTATATATAAGATATATACTATATATATATATTGTAGTATTTATATATAATATATGTTATTGTATATATAGTACATATACGTACACGATAAGGCCATACCCACAATACCTGTTAAACATGTATGTATACGTGTGCTTGCGTACACTGATATGTTCAATCATGACAATACATGAGTGTATCAAAATGCTGATAGATCAGAATATGTTCTGCAGTGTACTCTTGCGTGCTCTTGTCAGGCGCAATCCCATGTACTTGGAATCTATCATCACGAATCAAGTACAAGCAAACTTCTGCAGAGACGGCTGAACCGGTTCTGGAGGTGCCTTGGTTGCATTCCAAGGTATTCGTAGCCCTCATCCTCCGAAAAGCAAAGCAAATCGTGTTTGGCACTTTGAACCATTGTGATATATGCTGATTTGTGTCGATGCATGTGTAAACATCAAGGTATTGAGTGGTTGACACAAAGCAGTAGAAAATTGTCTTTCCAAGGGAGGTGAGGATTTAGTACTCTGCAACTGGTGAACCACGGCACCTGTGCTGGTCAGGTCTTCAGTGAGTAGCTCCGCGCTTCTTCTGGAGGTGGAGGAAGAAACAGCCGAAGAGGATATCAAAGAATTTGATTCCATGTGGTGGGAGATTCGAAAGGAACTCGATGGCTACCTACAGGCTTCTCAGGAACATGTCCGTGCAACGCAAGCTGCAGCACAAATGCTTCAGAACTACGCCGCAAAGTGCGCTGCAGGATTTTCAGAGATGAAACGAGCTTACAGCCTTTCGGTACGCGCGGAGACTCATGCACATAAAATCCTAAAGCGTGCATGGGCCGCTGTTTCTACAGGTGTTGCTGAGATGGCCTCAAAGGTAGCAGATGGGGTAATTCTCGATCATTTGGCTGTGCACGACCTCCACTCTTTGAATCCAAAGGCGATGCTCTCAAAAATGAACGGAACTGAGATACAGGTGTTTTGTGACGGATCTATTGATGCTGCGTTTACAGTGGTGCGGAAAGCAGCAGCGGAAGCTATGAAGAAGGGTCTTTATGGTCAGACTCACCGGCAGCTGATGGTTCTTTTCGAGGATCCTTGTCACAACTCCTACAGTATGTTTTTCCTTCCGGAAGAAAACCACTTGAACTTGTTTGTTGAATTGCACTACCTCAGGCATCCCTGGAAATTTCATGGTGGAGTGGGGCACTTTCTTCTAGGTGCTGAGGAAGGTTATGCTATTCAACTACTTGACCAAATTCTGAAAGATCTGAAAAGACCATGTTCTTGAGGGATCTCTTGAGTTCCTTTGAGTTCTTTGATGTTCCTCTTGAGTTCTTTTGAGTTCTTTTGAGTTCTTTTAACGTTTAAAGAATTTCAAAGATGTTACTTTCGATTTCTTTCCCCGCAGCGTTCCGAATGCATAGCCGGGTTCCTGTTCTCTGTTTTGGTCCCAGCCAGCGGTGCATGGAATCACAGCGACCTTGCTGGGCAAACGTATGCGTTTTGAAGTGTCAGGATGTCACTTCGCGTGGCATGCGGAGTACTTGAGAAGAGCGTTGTTGAAGAATGTTGAAGAGAGCACTTTCCAGGTGGTTTTTACATGATGCTGTAGAGAAGTCTTGTGCGAGAGTGTTGCGGAGAGGTGTTCTACTGAAGAGGTGTAAAAGAACACGCTGCATTACTTGTGTTTTGGAAAGGGGTATTCACCATGATGCAATAAAGTAGGAATCTCTTGGAGTCCTTCAGTGGATCAATCCAGCGTTGCAAGAGATTGTCATACAAAGTGGGTTGAAGGAGTGGGAGTGTTCGACAAGACCAGAAAAACTGTGGCATGCCTCAAGGGTATTATAAAGAGTATTGCCGTGCAAGAGGTCACCCCAAAATTGTCGTCAGAAGAATGTGGTGCTGTGGTGGAGGAGCGCCGTTATGGCCCTTGTGCAACCTTGTTCTAGAAGAGTGTTTCAAAGGCAAGATTTCCACGTGGGTTTTGCAGGCTTTGTCGACAATTGTTTGTCGAATGCATAAGGGTGAGAACAGCAGCAAGTTTAACTTGTCGACACCCGCTGATTCCAACTGCCAATAAACACCGGCAGTTCCCGCCGCCACAGCTTGTTGACTCGAATGACATGATTTCTGTAGGATGGGGGCCCTTTCGCAACCCTCGGGTGAGCATGGCAAACTTACACAAACCGAGCACACAGAAATAGAACTAGATCATATATGATCATCATGCTACCAAATGTGACCAATATTTTGCTATGAAGTACGTATTCAGAATTCTGTTCTTTGTGTGCCTTGTTCACATTCCGGCCAAGGAGTTAAAGATGCTTCAAAGTCGATTCCTTTCTGGAGGTCTTGGGCCAATTCCTGATGTTGACTTGGTGCAGGACGCACAGCATCTGGCTTGCAGGTCAGGAAAAACAAACATAAAGTCACGAGATTATGGAAATGTAAACCAGCAGCAATGAGGAAGTTCCAAGGATAGAGTGTCCACCGTTCCACCCTTCCTGTTTGGAAAGATGATGGCAACTGCTGGGAGGGATGGTCCCAGATGGTCCCAACACTTAGTTGGTAATGATGGCATATCATTTTTAATATTTTGAACGGGTGCAGTTTCTTAGGAAAATCGATGCGCCAAGCTAAGGACCCGTCTTCAAAGTGCACTTTTGCAAAGCACCTGGACACTGATGGCTCATACTTAACGATTTGCTTAAAATCGCATAACTATGCATAACACCATATAATTACTTGTTACAGATAAAAGTTATGTGCTTCACGAAAACGACAAGTGGAAAATCATTGCAGCAGGGATGTTCATGTGATTTGTTCCGAGCGGCGTCGGTTTTGAGACTGGCACTGCGCTGTTTGATTCATCTTGTGTTGAGGTGCGTTTGGAAGCAGCAAGGTAGCTAAAGCCATGGTGAAACAACTGAGAACGAAGTGTGACGTGTCAGAACGCGGTCCCAAGTCTTTGCTCGATGAAAGCAGTCAAGCAAAGTAAGAGACCACCTTTACAGTACAGATACCACAGCAGCCAATTTCCAAAGTGGCTCGAGGAAAAGATTTTCCGGCATGAGGCATGTCTGTGATTGGTCCTTGACTCCTTGACCGAAAACATGTTTAAAGTGCATATTTCATTTTGTTTCAATGTTGGTTGCTGTACAAACTTCGTCAATGTCATTGCTAAATGGGGGAAAATAGCTGGTGCTGCCAGAAACGCTCAAGTACGAATGTGGGCCAGCTACATAGCTGATGTACTCGGAACATCTTGGAACGGAAGGGCCTTCGCTAGATCGGGCTGGATGCTAATTGATCAGAGGTGACGCAAGTGATCCGGATGGTTTCAGGATGGTTCCAGAAACCTTTGTAGCAGGGTTCCGAGATGTTTCCAAATTCCAGATGGTTCCGAACTCTTGGATGGCCTTGGGCACTTGGGTGGCATGTTTTGCCCCAGGCTTTACAATGCTTTACATGGATTTGTGCGACTTTCTCGGCTCCACCCCAAGGACCGTGAGATGCAATGAAGGATTCTGAGTTTGGTTAAGTCGCCAGAGTTGGAGAAAAAAACCGTCAGAAGATAGTGACAAGACATGTGACAAGGCATAGAAGGCCTTTTTTAAGATCCTGACCTCCTGACGTGTGCGCTGGTTCCTCGCCATGGCTTTCGGTGGTGGGCTCAGAGAGAAAACCCATTGATTAGGCTAAAACTGGCAAAACACAAGAGCCAATGTTTACATTATATAAATTTATATAATATATAATAATATATACATATACATGTATATATAATTTTATGCGATTAAGTACATACATTATCAATTGTGTACATTATATTATATATGCATGAAGTCGCAGATTTTGTTGAGGCAAGGGGTGGCCAAGCGATGGTTGGTGGAGAGATGCCTGGCGCTACGATGATTGGGGCAAGGCACCCTTGTGCCAAGTCCGAACACAGTTGCACATCGCCAAGACATTCTCATGATGTGCAAGAAAAATGAACGTGTTTGGGGTGTACATTTGTTCTTGATGTTTGCTGTCATCGACGGCCCAAGTGCTTGCATGACCTAGAAGAAACATGAAGAAACCTTCCGGTCATCCTTTTCTTCTACTCGGTCTTGCTTGTTGTGCGCTGCACTTCTTTTAGCAAGTCTTTAAGATGGAAGTCCTTTGGCTGCCGCTTTGGAGGGTGTGGCCGGAAGGCTTTGCCACGGCTATCAATTCAATAGTGAAATTAGAGAACGGCTGACATTGCATCTTGACAGGCTAAAGGCCGTGGGCGACGGAAGGCTTGCAGTGCAGAAGTGATCGACTGACAAATTTGGAGGTTTCTTCCGGTTTGTACAAGTTGACATGGTGGAAACTGTGCCGCTTTGTTCTAATCTTGATGACCTGATTTGCCAGGGTGATGGTCGAGATGGACAAAATGGACGAGATGGACGAGATGGACGAGACAAAGCAGATGAAGACAAGGTGCCCAAGGTGAGCGAGGAGCGAAGCCTAACTGGCCCAACTGGCCCGGTCATGTCATTCTGCCTCAGGCCTTCGCAGCCTCCCACATGTGAACTCTAGGCTCGACTAGACATACTTGTGCTAGACTATAGAACATGTTTGCGATAGTTTCATTTGAAACCTGTGAAACATATCTTCCCCAAGGCCATCATGAAAGATCATCTCCATTTTAATTTCCGCAGCTCAGCAAGACACTAGTTAAACATAGTTAAATGCGCTTAGATGTCACACAATGCATATATACTTGCTTTACAATAATGCAATGATACAATACAATATGATATTATTGATATAATATCATACGGTATGGTATGACATGAGCTGATATATATATAATATAATGACATAGTAATACATTGATATAATATGATAGAACATAATGTGATATAAATATATATATAATACAATGATTGGATTTGATTTGATATCATGTGATATCATAAAATGGTTTCATATCATACAATGTGATCTTATATAATGTAATATGATAAAATTTGATTTCATGTGAATGCAATATCATTTATATAATACAATTAAAGACAATATCATACAATATCATACAATATCAATATAACTACAATACAATTGCAATGCAATTGAAACAGTTACTGGTACAACTCAATACATTTACAACAAAAAAATGTACATTACAATACAATACAAGTACAATACAAGACAACTAAGTACAACACAAGATAATTAATTACATGAATGACATTACAATACAATACAATACGACTTTTGATCGAGTGGAAGCAGTCTGAAAAAGCAGCTTTCAAGACGCTTGAATTAGTTAATTACTATCGATAGAGACATTGAAAATCATTGAAATGCAGCCCGTCAGCCCGTAGACGTTGCAGACGTTGCAGACTCCAGGAGATTTCAAGGCCCGCCGGGCCCCCCTCTACCGCTGATGCGCCGAACCCAGCGCCGGTCCCGCCGGTGCCCGCACCGGTGGGCAGCGTCGGCAAGGGGATCGGCGCCAGGGAGGCGAAGGAGGTGAAGGAGCCGAAGGAGGTCAGGAAGCCGAGTGTTGTGCGAGTCACATACCATCACCTTCGCAACTGGAATTCGCTTGTTTTTTGATCCTTTTCGAATGAAACGCATTCGTTGTGTATCATTGTCATTGTCATTTAATGGTTTTCATTGTCATTCAATGGTTTTTGAACACTTTGAGCCGCAGTGTGGGTTTGTAATGAATTATGCCACATCTCTGATACTCGTGACATGTTTTCACGCGTATGTGACATGTCGACATACGTTTTCTGACACAACAACTGTTCTCGTGCCTGTGCCATGACCCTGTGACTCGTGATACTGTAGGAAAGTGCTCCAAGAGCCAAGGCTTGATGCCCAGTTGCCGGGCGATGTGGTCATATGTTGCAATGCCTACAGCTACATCTTGGTGAAATTGGATGAAACAGGATGAAACAGGTACGGTTATAGTCATTCTACAGTAGTGTATAAAAAATCTCAAGCTGACCATTTAAGACCTTATGTACTTGGAAATATTTACATGTGAGAGTAGGACACAGCGGGGGTGTTTTTCAATAATTGTTTTGGTTTTCTTTTTTTGTGGATTTATATACTGCATTTTGCGCAAGCATGTTATTCCACTATGTAAAGCTGTAAATTCATGCAAATGCTGCGAAAGTTATGAGATTGAGATGTACTAGTGGCATGCAACGTGTATGACATGCATGAAATGAGTAAGCCAGCCTCCCACTTGAAATTACGATGTACTAAATTATTAGTGTCATGGCATTACATGGCAATGTTTATTCAATCTTGTATGTAGCTTTTGAGCTGTGGTTTTGCAGTTTCAATCTGCATTGGGCTTTGTGTGGGCGTGTGAGTGTGTGTGTGTGTGGACATGTGGCCATCAGAATAGATATGATGTAGGACCTGTATCATTCTTCACCTGCATTTCCCCTTTTCGTGTCCCTTTTTCAATATATCATAATATATATATATGAGATAATAGTGATGATATCTAGTATATTCTATAAAAGCCTCGCTACAAGCAAGACACTCACCGCTGGTTGTATAAACATGCCCGCATGACACACATGCTTTACATTCACTGGAAGGCATAGCTGGTGATCACGTCTATGTCGGTATATCTAGATGATTCAATGATTCATTGATCGTCGTTGGGGATGGCATCGAGTTGGGTTGTCATCGAGGTACTTTTCTGGTGACATTACTCATGCTAGACTCCTGCAGCCAAGGATGAGGTCTTTGAAGAGATCCGAAATGTGCTCAACGCAAATCCTGCGTCCAATACCGAGTGCACGAAGCACTCCACGTTTTTTGCACCGAGCTTCGATGACCTTTTTGATGTGAACACTGTGAACATGTACTTCTTTTGTCCTGTCACAGGGTTTGCGACCTCACCAGAAATGCCGATGCGCAGTGTTGTGACGCAACTTAGAAAGAGACCTGAATCACAGGCTTCAGATTCAATTCTTTGACGCCCGGGTGCGGCAGTGCGGTGCCCTACGTGGCAGGATGTCAGACTTCTGAATCACAGTGAAACATGGTGAAAGTGAGACCTGACCAAGCCAACTTGTGTAATCAACTTAATCACATGCAATTTGGAAGCAGAACCATTGTGTTTTCCGGCAAAAGGTGTGTTGTTGTTTTTTTTTATGTAGAGGCTAACAAAGATTTTCAAGTAAAGTACAGGTCAGGCGAATAAACCTAAACAGCAAACTTCACTGACTGGTTGCTGAGGGGTTCACTCAACATGTTCAAATAAGCCACCGATCCGCCTTCTGCAAGGCATTTGCATGCCTTGTTGGGAAATGGTGGAAGGCACGGCCGCCTTCAACCACAAAACTGGGGGGTCGACCTCGCACAGAGTGGCAGACGGACACACAAGGCCGTTCTAGGCAGTGCAAGATTAGCACGAGGCAAAGACATGAGCAAAACATGGATGTAGCAACATGTTGGGCACAACATGCTTACGTGGCAGCCTTTCTTGGTTAGGTCAAGACTCAAAACTAGAATAAATGCCGCACAATGCCGCCATCATAACAGATACCACAACATTCTCAAAGTGCTCTCTGAAAGTATAGTACCAAAATTGTACCAAAATGATTCAAAACGTACCAAGACTTGTTCCTTGGAAATATGTGGGATGCTTTTTGCTGCTTTGAGACATTGTTCATCACTGTTCATTCGGCGCTGAATGAGGCAGCGGCTGAAAGCTGCCCTGACCATGGTTCACACGTGTCTCCTGCATGTCTTGGTGTTGATCAGTTTGCAAGTTGCTGAGCAGTTCCAACTAAGAAATTTCGCAGCTCGCGTGAAGCTTTGACAACGCTTTGGCTGATCCGACACAGCTACAGAAAAAGAACTACCATTTTTTTTTCTGCAGGTGCACCCTTCACAAGACGAGACAGGACCTGCAGCTATGGACCTTTTGGCATTTGAATGCATTCGTGCACAAGCCGGAAGTTCACGCTTTTGCGGAAAGTTGGTCTGGGGTCCGTGTCGCAGGGCTTTGAAATGTTCCTCACACAGTTCCCTTAGATGGTGGTTGCAGTCTTAACCAATGCTTTTGCCGACTTTCTCACCAAGTGACAAAACATTCTTTATCCGCTTCAATCTTTCCTGTGTTTTTCTCTCGCTGTTGCAGCCTTCGCGAAGATAAGAAGAATGTTGAATTGTCCTGGTGTTTGCGAGCCAATTTACGGCACAATTTAAAACCGAATCCACCCCAGCTGATCTTATTCGTATTGTAAAAGGGGGTGTTCAGTCTATCAATGAAAAGAAGGGAACATCAAAGCAATGCAAGGATATCAAATGTGTAAGAGGGAATTGGATCGCTGAAAATTGTTTAAAAAAATGGAGGTTGCAGCAGCATTGAACTGGGCTCGATTACTTGGGGAACAGCATGGCCAAATCAGAATCATTTTAGTCGAATCAGTGTCACAGGATCCGGCATGGGGATGCATGGGGTATCAGGTTCCATGCAGAATCAGGTTGTATCAATCAGGTCGTATCCGGTTGGTATGGTCGCAGTGCGAGGGATGTTCAGGTCATCATGGTCCTTTCTCTTGACTCTATCCACCTTTGCCTTTTTATTTGTCCATATCTGTCCAATTCTGTCCATATGTTGGAAGTTTGACTTCTAAACTTCCTTCGACCAGGTTGTTCTGCAAGATGCGAATTCAGTCAGGTTTTGCCTGGCCATTTATTTCTGCCTTTAGAACTTCATATTGTCACCCCAGGATGTGAAGAATTGGTGTGGCACTTAATTATTTTGCACCACCACGAGGCCAAAACACAAAACATCGAAAACATCGCAAAACCTGCAAGCCTGAGGGCCATGAGGGACGGATAGAAGCGCTCGCAGCAAGGCCAGCTTATCTCCTGACGTTGCTCAAAAAGTTTGACTCGGACATGTCTCATCAGGCGAGCATCAGACGGGAGTGCTCTGCAGTATGCTGCAGTGATTTCTGCTCAACTTGCATTGCATATATTGCATCATTGTTGCATCATGTTGCATCATATTACATCGTAGTTATACAATGTTATATACATTATTAATCATTATTACATATATATATATATTATATATTATATTATATTATAGTAAATATATGTAAATATGTAAATATAATGTATATACATTTTTAGCATTGCTGTGTGATGCTGTGTTTCGTGTGTTTTGTTCGCCTCGTGATGCTTGTCGCAAACTCCTGAGGACCTATCGGAGCGCCGCGTGCTGGCAACCAAGATCATGGAGGCACAACATGGGGAGACGATGTGTTTGTTTTTTGTGCTGTGCGAGTTGAAGAATTTCAACCGATTTCAACATGGCCTTTTTATATTTTGATTTGTTTGGGATATGTTTCAATTCAATTTGGATCAATTTGGGGTGTTCTTGCATGTTTCTCGTTGAGATTTGGATTTTTTTGAGTTCCATGTTTGCATTGCAAACAGTCCACCTGGAAATGCTAGGCGAAAAACAACACGTACTCTTCGGCTTCCACCACCCCCGAGAAGACAGACCGCGAGGGTAACCGGACAGAGCTGGAAACCCAGTAGAAAAACATAGAAAAACGATGCGGAATAAGTTCCACGTGACTGCCCTGTCAGCTGTTGATTATCCAGTGAATCGTTTGGGAAGGCCACATCCGTGACGTCCAAAATATATCATCGTTTGCCCCAAGTCATGCTAGCTGCTTGGTAATGCCTTGTATTGAATTGTAGTTAATACATGTAGAAGATGTGTTTAATATTTTTTAATGAACATGGGCTGAATTTGAAATCAAAAACAAATGCCATCGTATATCCTTTGCATGGCAAGGTCCAGCGAAGGCGAGGCTGTGGTGCCCTTGGTGCGCAGTGTGTCGTCGTTGCCATTGTTGCCAACGCTGCCAATTTTCCTTTGCCATGTGTTTTTTTGCGCTGGCGGCGCGGTGTCCTGAGGATGAGAGCGTGACAGCCCAGGATGGTGGAGGAACGAGGAATGTGAAACACCATGGACAAAAAAGAGAAACAATGTGTAAGTGTAATTTTAATGATATATTTTGATAGCAATAGTTTTGCTACGAATCAGTTACCAGTTACTTAGTCGAAATCCACGGGCACTGCAGTGCAAACGCGTGTACCCACACTGGCGGAACACATATTTAGCAGCAGAGGCTGCAGGTCGATGCAATCTGACGATATCTGACATGTCAAGTGACTGCGAGGTGAAGATGAGCCAGTGGAGGCACCAGAGAGGTGGCGTTGGCATGGCCAGGGGAAGACACTCGAAACGCACAATGTCCGCGTGCCAATCACCAGATGGCATGGGTACAGTTCTATATTACATCCAAACTAAATCATGCTCTTATTTTCTTCATGATATTTCAACGTTGGTTTCACTGGTCGATATAGAGTGTTGATAAACGTGGATGTGGGTGACAAGAAATCATTGTGGGATGCTAATATCTATGGATGCGTTGCTTGTTTTTTGTTAGTGTGACAAGCTTTCAAGAAGTTCTTGGCACTGCAAGATTAAAATATAAAAGTATGTGCATGCTGAGTGATATTACCTGACGCCGCACGTGCTGAGCTGGGTGCATTCTCAGCTGGGCAAAAGCCTGATACAATGGTATGTTCATGAGCTTCCATCTGCTCCATCCACTGTGTTTACGGAGCTTTCTAGGTCTCTATGTGCATGCATGGAGTGCCCTTCACTGCTGACATGGCAGGTTGGAATTCAAAGCTCCTCGGGTGACGGCTGGAGACTCCAGAGACTGAGAGACTGCAATTGGGGCAGGTGGGTCAGAGGTCGCAGAGGGCAGTATCGAGCAATCACGACATGTCACCACAGCAGACTGCAGTGCAGCTGCAACTTTCCTGGTTCGCCCCAAGGCACCTCCGCCTAAGCCCAGGTTCGCACTGTTGCACAGCAATGCAGAGTACATGTTGCACAGAGCATCACAGAGGAGTTTGTGTTTGTACCCCATGTTTTTCATCGTTTTTTGCATGTTTTTGCATTTGGCTGAGTAACATTGAGTATATAACTTTATATAACTGTGTCACTGTCTGCAAAGGCTTTCTCATGTCTCCGGTGTTTCTTCCTTGTCCTTGTGTCGACATTGTGTCCACCCTTCAGCCAGGCCGGAGCTCGACTTCTTTGGGGACTGGAACCGAGAAACCTCAGAGATCCGAGACTTTCAGGCGTGCAGGTTGTGCAGTTGTGCAGCGTTGTGCATACGGCTGTGATCCGTCTAAGTTTTGAAACATTCTGAAGCGGCGCAGCGGCTCTCAAAATCTTTCAGATTGTGGAACATTGTGGAACTGGTTTCCCTTGAGCTTGGGGCAACAAAGCTTATCCACTAGGTTGCAAGAAACAACCATACCTACAAATACCATACAGACCATCAGATACCGCTGCTCCCCCATTGAAAGATTATTGATGATCATCATGTTTGCTACAACGACCGATGGTTTACAGCATTTCTCCGCTCCAAGTGCATATTATTATCACTCACACACACACACCTCTGCAGAATTCTGCAGTCATTGTACCTTCCATGTGTGGCATGGTGTCGCTGTTGCAGATATGAGCAAATATCGCTTTGGCTAGAGCCGATGTTTGAAGATCTTTGAAGTGCCTTTGCTTTACTTGTTTGAGACCGGTTTTTTTAATATAGACTCAATTTAGACCGCGCCCCAGTACAGCTCTCTTCTCCTTTTTACCGTTTGAGGCGCCACGGCCGCCGATGCGTGTGCATGACGACATGCAGGCCCTGATTTGAAGTTTTCTTGAGCATAGAATCTCTGTAAGCACAAAACAGTCTGTGATGTTTTGAGAGAGATGATGCGGATTGCGCATGATTAAGTATATTGAAGTTGAATTGTTTTTGGATGCTCTTGGGTAGGCAGGGAGGCACTAGAGGTTTCCAGACCAAAAACCACTTAGCCACTGTGCAGGGGCATTTGCATTCGCATCTGCACGATCCAGATGCGCAGGCTTTACTACCTAGACAAATGATTGGACGGTGAGCACGTGTTTGCATTGAGATCGTGTGAGGTTTTCGTTTGTTTGAATCCAGCCCATGGTCAGATGGATACCTTCAGCCCTTTGCAAATGTTATAAATGTTTTGATTCAGTCCCTCTTTCAGAGTTAAAAGTTGAACCCAGGAATGCCAGCTCTTCCAAATTGCTCCTGAAAGATGATTCCTTCACAAATCAGGTGCCTCACGTGCGTTTGCGGGATGCCGACTTGCAGGCAGACAGGGTTGACTCTGCTATTAAACGGTTCCACTTTTCGCTGAAAGAATCACAGCATCTAAGAGCATCTAAGAGCATTTAAGAGCAACATTGGCAAAGCCGCTGTTTGAAGATGTTTGAATATGTTTGAAGAACGCAACGTAAGTATGGGCCTGTGAACTCCCGCAAATACTTTCAACTTTCAACAGAGGCATTATAGGACGGAATTGTTTGTCTGTTTTGAGTTGTTTAACCTTTAAGGACAGTTTCAGATAGTCTTAGCAGGTGTTCGCACATTTTGGCATGTTGTCATGTTGTAGCATGTCATCAAATTGTGCCCAAAATTTGTCGATGACTCCATCGACTTTCATGAAACTCACCCTCCTTCAGGAGCTCCGAGGGTTTGATTTCCAGGCGCAGACATGGGTGTGGTATGGTGTGGTCGTCTTTGACTGTGACCAGACATGGACGCAGATGACACAGTATGACACAGTGGCAGGGCAATCGCGGCTGGTCATGCAGGTCTCAATAGACATGATCTCGACGCGCATTTGCACACAAACACCTCTGCAGAATTCTGCAGTCATTGTACCTTCCATGTGTGGCATGGTGTCGCTGTTGCAGATATGAGCAAATATCGCTTTGGCTAGAGCCGATGTTTGAAGATCTTTGAAGTGCCTTTGCTTTACTTGTTTGAGACCGGTTTTTTAATATAGACTCAATTTAGACCGTGCCCCAGTACAGCTCTCTTCTCCTTTTTACCGTTTGAGGCGCCACGGCCGCCGATGCGTGTGCATGACGACATGCAGGCCCTGATTTGAAGTTTTCTTGAGCATAGAATCTCTGTAAGCACAAAACAGTCTGTGATGTTTTGAGAGAGATGATGCGGATTGCGCATGATTAAGTATATTGAAGTTGAATTGTTTTTGGATGCTCTTGGGTAGGCAGGGAGGCACTAGAGGTTTCCAGACCAAAAACCACTGAGCCACTGTGCAGGGGCATTTGCATTCGCATCTGCGCGATCCAGATGCGCAGGCTTTACTACCTAGACAAATGATTGGACGGTGAGCACGTGTTTGCATTGAGATCGTGTGAGGTTTTCGTTTGTTTGAATCCAGCCCATGGTCAGATGGATACCTTCAGCCCTTTGCAAATGTTATAAATGTTTTGATTCAGTCCCTCTTTCAGAGTTAAAAGTTGAACCCAGGAATACCAGCTCTTCCAAATAGCTCCTGAAAGATGATTCCTTCACAAATCAGGTGCCTCACGTGCGTTTGCGGGATGCCGACTTGCAGGCAGACAGGGTTGACTCTGCTATTAAACGGTTCCACTTTTCGCTGAAAGAATCACAGCATCTAAGAGCATCTAAGAGCATCTAAGAGCAACATTGGCAAAGCCGCTGTTTGAAGATGTTTGAATATGTTTGAAGAACGCAACGTAAGTATGGGCCTGTGAACTCCCGCAAATACTTTCAACTTTCAACAGAGGCACTATAGGACGGAATTGTTTGTCTGTTTTGAGTTGTTTAACCTTTAAGGACAGTTTCAGATAGTCTTAGCAGGTGTTCGCACATTTTGGCATGTTGTCATGTTGTAGCATGTCATCAAATTGTGCCCAAAATTTGTCGATGACTCCATCGACTTTCATGAAACTCACCCTCCTTCAGGAGCTCCGAGGGTTTGATTTCCAGGCGCAGACATGGGTGTGGTATGGTGTGGTCGTCTTTGACTGTGACCAGACATGGACGCAGATGACACAGTATGACACAGTACTACTACTACTACTACTACTACTACTACTACTACTAGGAGGGTCTTGACTTAAGTCGCATCTTCTTGTTGAAGCCGCATCTTGATTGGCGCCCGCCACACAAAACACAGTTTTACTCAAATCTTGTGATTTGATATTTGTACTAAATCATACATGATTGCCGTTTTACCAGTGCGCCAGCTCGCTTTTTCCATGGTTGCCCTATAGTTCCATAGTTGACTTTTTCCTCGTGTAGGTTTTGTTTTGCCCCAGATAGCGGAGCTATTGGGGTTATTATTTCAAGTATAGGCAGAGCGTTTTGGAGCTGGGTTGATGGTGCCGCTGCAGGGTGCCGCTGCAAGGTGCTGGTGTCAGGGTACTGTGTGCATTTTGGAGCCTGGTTGCTGGTGCGCTACAGGGTGCTGCTGCAGGGTGCTGCTGCAGAGTGCCATTGCTGGTGCTGTTGCGGTGGCAAGCTTCGCCAGGTGCTGTCCAGGGCGCAGGGCTTCTTTTCATTTTCCCTCCTCGCTTTTAGGTCCAAAAGGGCCTTGGTGGGTTGGTATGCCTTTAAGTCTCGTTCTGGCTGTGTTTCTTTTTGCTTATTTATGCTACGGTTGCGGTGGTGCTGCGTGCAGCACAAGCAGCACAGGCAGCAAAAGCAGCACAAGCAGCAGAAAGAGCAACGCACAAGCAGCAGCACCAGCAGCAGCACCAGCAGCTTGTGCTGCTGCTGGTGCAGCTTGTGCTGCTTCTGCTGCTCGTGCTGCTTGTGTTGCTGGTGCTGCTTCTGCTGCTTCTGCTGCTTCTGCTGCCGGTGCTGCTTCTGCTGCTCGTGCTGCTTCTGCTGCTTCTGCTGCTTCTGCTGCTGCTGGCTCTGACCGGCGCCGCGTCGCAACCCTAAGGCCCTAAGGCAAAAGTGTATTATGACTGCGCGCGCGCGCATTATTTTGTTCATTTTCGCAGGTGATTTCCAAGGAACAAGTGCATGTGGACTGCGCGCGCGCGCAATGTTTCCTTGATTCCAGCCACTTTCCATGATTGCGGAATTCATTGGCGCCCGCAATGAATCATTGCAAAAAACAATGCTCGTGATGTGACTTCAGCGGCGTGATGCGCCTAGTGTTTTTCATTGTTTTCACAGCGCCTGCCACACAAGATGTGCCTTCAGCGGCGTGATGTGAGTTAAGTCGACAATTTGTATGACACTGTATGACACACTATGACATAGTATGACACCGTATAACACAGTGTGACACAGTGTGACACAGTGGCAGGGCAATCGCGCACGAAGGGTTTTTCGGACAGTAGGGCTGGCATGGTCTGGTCATGCAGGTCTCAATAGACATGATCTCGACGCGCATTTGCACACAAACACCTCTGCAGAATTCTGCAGTCATTGTACCTTCCATGTGTGGCATGGTGTCGCTGTTGCAGATATGAGCAAATATCGCTTTGGCTAGAGCCGATGTTTGAAGATCTTTGAAGTGCCTTTGCTTTACTTGTTTGAGACCGGTTTTTTTAATATATAGACTCAATTTAGACCGCGCCCCAGTACAGCTCTCTTCTCCTTTTTACCGTTTGAGGCGCCGCGGCCGCCGATGCGTGTGCATGACGACATGCAGGCCCTGATTTGAAGTTTTCTTAAGCATAGAATCTCTGTAAGCACAAAACAGTCTGTGATGTTTTGAGAGAGATGATGCGGATTGCGCATGATTAAGTATATTGAAGTTGAATTGTTTTTGGATGCTCTTGGGTAGGCAGGGAGGCACTAGAGGTTTCCAGACCAAAAACCACTGAGCCACTGTGCAGGGGCATTTGCATTCGCATCTACGCGATCCAGATGCGCAGGCTTTACTACCTAGACAAATGATTGGATGGTGAGCACGTGTTTGCATACGATTTTTGCGATTGCCCGTTGCAGTGCAGTGATTGCTTGTGAGATCTTGTGAGGTTTTCGTTTGTTTGAATCCAGCCCATGGTCAGATGGATACCTTCAGCCCTCTGCAAATGTTATAAATGTTTTGATTCAGTCCCTCTTTCAGAGTAAAAAGTTGAACCCAGGAATGCCAGCTCTTCCAAATTGCTCCTGAAAGATGATTCCTTCACAAATCAGGTGCCTCACGTGCGTTTGCGGGATGCCGACTTGCAGGCAGACAGGGTTGACTCTGCTATTAAACGGTTCCACTTTTCGCTGAAAGAATCACAGCATCTAAGAGCATCTAAGAGCATCTAAGAGCAACATTGGCAAAGCCGCTGTTTGAAGATGTTTGAATATGTTTGAAGAACGCAACGTAAGTATGGGCCTGTGAACTCCCACACATACTTTCAACTTTCAACAGAGGCACTATAATTAGGACGGAATTGTTTGTCTGTTTTGAGTGGAGTATTTTTGACTGTAGCATTTTTCAGACTGTGTTTGATATAGATAGGTTCTGGCATGGTCTAGCATTTTTTGGCACGTTTTGTGATTGTGCCAGAGATTTGCCGACATGTTGGCTTCTATGAAGATCTATGAGACGGGTTTCTTTACCCACGCACACACGCACTGCAAGATCTTGTGGGCCCACGACATGGGCCAGGTGCATCCTGATCGCAATGCATACAGTGCGGTCCTTGGGCCACAGGCGGATCACAAGGTGCCACAAGGTGTGCAACGAAGGTGCATCCCATCTAAGGATGGTCACGGCCGCCTGGAATGCCGCCACCGGGCCCTCCCCCGGGGCCTCCGGGGCCGCCTGGGGCTGGGCCTCCAGGGATGGAAGGCTTTGGCTTTGGCTCCTTCAGTTCCTTCGGCGCCGGCACTTTCGGCACGCGACCTGATATGCCCAGGTGGGACCACCAAAAGTCACCAACAAAAAACACCAAGACAGAGAAAAGATAGACAAAGTTAAAGTACATATATTAGAGGATATTGTGGTGGTGAAGTATTACACATTGCCATCAAGTGACCACTGTGACAGCTCTGACAAGCATACCTGGCGTGGAAGAGGCAACCTGGAGTTGGGGCAACCTCGAAAATTCAGGCAGGGTGTCCAGTCCTAGCTTCATGTGATGCGTCGGGCTGTGTGAATCTGGGAAAGTATCATAACATTCTTGACGCTGAGGCCAGTCAGAGATCGGAGGCCCGCAGCGACCCATTGAAATTGTTAGAGGGCACTTTGATTATCTTTGATTTGGTTGTAATCTTGCCGCATAGCGCCGTCCTGTTGAAACGACCCAAGTCGGGTGCCGAGAGGTGATTGCTCGCTAGTCCTTTGGATAGGCTCGACCGGAGCTGGAGAGCACAACACACGATCGACATGGAACATTTTGCAGTTGAGCCTTGCCCAAAAACAATGTCTTGATTTTGTTTAGGTATGTCGGTATGTGTGTGTGTGTGCTTAAGTAATTCATAGCAAGTTGGTCACCTATCAAACTATCTATATATATATATATAAGGCTTTGGTTTTGCTCTCGTGTCATCCTATGCAAGGCCTTGTTTTGTCTTGTCTTGTCGCTTTGCTCACAGAGACTACAATTTCCAATCCATTTTCTTCGCGGTTAGATTATGTTAGATTTTTCATAATTGTTCATTAGTTTTTGGGCCTTTGTCCAACGCGCTCATCGCGTGGAAGGCGGTTGTGGGCGCCCCGAAGCGGGAGGCAGGAATGCACCCTGTGTGGGACTGTGCTGGATTGCAGCTCTATTATTTTTGGGTCTGACAGCGTAGGTTGATTGTCCTATATAGATTGATGTATGCTTCGTTGATCTTCGCTGTTGAGTGCTCAAAGAGAGAGAATCATTGAACCACGCCGTAACTAAGCGTGCGTCTTAGTCGTGATCCCTTTCCCTCCAGGTCCCTTGCAAAGCCAGCACCGCTCGATGCGACTGGTGACCCGTGTGACACGGAGCATCAGGCTGGCAAAACCGGTCAGGCAACTCGGGCGAGCCCGAGTGATCCAACATGATCCGATATGATCCGAACATATCCGAACCGCTCAGCATCCTATCGAGTTTCTGATGCAGTTTCCACTTTGCCATAGATAGCCTTTTTGTTCATTAATTCCTGGTGCTTTCCTTTTGTCATTTGATGTCATTTGCATGGCACTTCTTTTGCTGTGACATCGACACCGTTTGCTCGGATCCAAGATCGATGTCCTCACCGGTCATTTTGGCGTAGGGCGGTCCAATGGATCAAGATTTTGGCGAGGCCAAGTGAACAAGACAGGTTCCAAGATACAAGATGTGACAAGATGTGTGGGTCTAAGTGATCTCAAGATATATCAAGGCTATTTTGCAAAGTCTAGTAGATCATTGGTTGAACAAAATGATTTTCTCCCCACGCCCGTTTGGAACGTGTCCAGTATAGTATATACTGCATGTCAAGGCATGCATGGAGCGCGGGGAATGCCAAGATTCTTTGGTTCTGATGGATTACAGATGAATCCGGCTCGTTGGGTACGTTGCATTGTTGGAAAGCAAAGCTAGATAGCGCACTTATATAAAATGCTGCAAATTGACTAAACTCAATCAAAAAGTGTTCTCATGCTCTCCGGATTTTGCTTTGTGGAAAACAAAATCTCGCAGTCCAAGAAACATAAAGCGCAAATACAACCAACGTGTTGGTACATGTGGTGTGTCTCAACAGGGATTTGTCTTTTCGGTGAAACTCTTCGTGGCCTCGTCTTGTGGCGCCGGCTTGGGGGCCTGCCTGGCGTAGTGTGCGATGCGGGCGAAGTCTCGTCTCAACCAAGCAGTGCTCGGATGCGAAGCGGCTTCAAGCCGAGCACATTCAATATTGTTCAGCGTGCCCAACCTTGACACATCTGACGCATCAAGTTCAGAACAGATGGACATATGTTGCAAAGATCTGCATAGTCAGAAATGTAAGAGTGAATTGCTGCTTGGAGAAATGGATGCCATGGTGTAGCGACCGGTGATGACCAACAGCGTCACCTGGCCGCGACCCGCGTGGTGCGATGTCAGAACCCACAGATCACGTGGAGAATCCACAGAGCCATTTTGAAGTTCGGCGCCTCGACGCAAAAGCCAATGCATGGCAAGACTCAAGACACAGACACAAGCTTTTGATGGCTTTTATATAAATTGCTTCAAAACCTTTTGAATCTTTCGACATCTCTCGATCCTCATCAAGCCTCGGCATTGTCACCTCTGAAGTGGGGCCGTCGGGATCATTGTCTTGCCCAGCCCCGGCTCAAAGGCAGCAAAGACACACCATTGCACGGGCATCTTTGCAGTTTGGGAATGCATCACCTTCCTTTTTTGCACAGGACCAGAAGCTTTTCTGCCCTATAAATAGCCTATAAATATATAAGATATTCAAGATTATTTAAGCAATTTCAAACAGAGAAAACTGAGAGCAACTGCCTTTTTCGCGCTTTCCACGAAACACTTGCCGGGTAAAGATTTGATTTTTTGAACAGGACAAGGTGAGAAGAAGGGCTTCCAACAGAGGCATTTGTTGCAACCACCTTTACAAAGGGCTGAGGAAATTTGCACAGCTTCCTTTTTTTAATCCTGTAAACTGACCATCCTGTTGTTCCTTTGGTTGGTTCAGCACTGCTTGCAAATCCTTCCTGCAACCTTGAAAAGAAGAACAGCGCACACTACAGTACAGGAGGGAAAAGAAACATATGGGTTAGTGGATGTTAGCGGGCAAGATATGCATGGGCTCCATGTCTCGATGACCGATGGCGAAGTGTTTGCTGAGGCTTCGCAAATGTGACGAAACCCTGTGTGAGACTATGTGACATGATGAGAAGCGTGTTGTTCAAATTGCTTCATTGTGGCGGCTATGCCCTGCATTCCCCTGCTTCGCTATGCTTCGCTCCACGGCTGCTGTGAGGCCATCCAAAGGGACGAAGAATGGCGAGCGTTTGAGACTGGGTGACAGAGCTGGGACAGATAAACAGCACGTGGGAATCATGACAGCATTGCCGCTTGACACAGGACTTAACACATCTTAACATAGTCGACACATTGCCCGCCGCACGCCTGAGGCCAACCAGGTGCCCGGCGAGCGCTCTTCACTTTGTCCTGTCATGGGTCCCCAGGTCCAGTGATGCCCAGAGAACATTACCCAGGGATACCTAGGGATCAATCACATGCCAGTCCAGGGTTTGTGGTGATCCCTATGCCATTGTTTTTTTTGGTTTCCATGGTGTATCAACTTGAAATCCAACCTGTGTTCACATCAGCTCACTTCAGAATCAGAATTTGTAGTATGGCACTTTGCTATGCAAATTATGAACTCGAAAGGAGGTGTTTGCGCGTGTTTTTCTGATTTTTCGGGCCACCCAGGCATCAATGCGTTGAACTTCGCGGATCGCTACGTGTCAGGCTCTGAGAGGACCGAGCTGCCAAGCATTGGCCGAGCATTGGCCAATGATGACCGATAATTATGGAGCGCAGCACACCAAGGCCAGCTGCTGTGAAGACTTCTATGGAGGAGGTGGGCTCGCAGTGGCGCGGAGTGGCGCGCAGTAGCGTGCAGTCAAAGTTCACCTTGTTGGATGTTTTTTGGAGACCTTTCCATAATATTATACCTTTCTTAAGAATACCTCAAAAAAAAATCACCTACAATTTCTAACACGTTAACGTTTGGCACAGAGCATGTTTTTGTGGAAGATGCTTGGGTATCTTGAATCATCTCCAAGCAGGTGTTTGATTTTGTAGGGAGCATTTTTGGGATCATTTTAGAGGACACCTTAAGCCATGTTTTTGCTAGCGGGTGGAAAACCGCGCGTGTAGTCGTGCTACTTTTTCAATATGGGGGTGGGGTGGGGTGGGATATTAACGTTCATGCGCCTTGCGTACATACGTGGATGCTTCGCTGCTGCTACGTCAATGGTTAGGGGTTGGGTGGGGTGGGGTGGGATATTAACGTTCATGCGCCTTGCGTACACACGTGGATGCTTCGCTGCTGCTACGTCATGCTTAGGGTTGGGTGGGGTGGGGTGGGAAATTAACGTTCATGTGCCTTGCGTACACACGTGGATGCTTTGCTGCTGCTACGTCAGTGCTTACGGGTTGGGTGGGGTGGGGTGGGAAATTAACGTTCATGTGCTTTGCGTACACACGTGGATGCTTCGCTGCTGCTACGTCAGTGCTTAGGGGTTGGGTGGGGTGGGGGGGGTGGAAATTAACGTTCGTGCCTTGCGTACACACGTGGATGCTTCGCTTCTGCTACCTCAGTGCTTACAGTAGGGGTTGGGTGGGGTGGGGTGGGAAATTAACGTTCATGCGCCTTGCGTACACACGTGGATGCTTCGCTGCTGCTACGTCAGTGCTTACGGGTTGGGTGGGGTGGGGTGGGAAATTAACGTTCACGTGCCATGCGTACACACGTGGACGCTTCGCTGCTGCTACGTCAGTGGTTAGGGGTTGGGTGGGGGCGAAAATTCCAAATTTATGATTTTGGAGTCGCAGCAGCTTCCAAGTCTGGAAAGCCTCCACCTGAGAGCGCGCCACGCATTCGTGCCACTGGTGCTTGGCAATGTGCGCTACCGGCCCACAAGCTTGGTCGCAAAAGCATCTTGGTGACAGACAGTGCCCCATGCTACCCCAAACCGACCTCTGAAAATAATCTGCTTCATGAAGCTTGCAATCATAGTAAGGGCACCTTTTGCATCAACAAGAAAAACACATGGGGTAACTTGCTAGTGCACACCGGTGGTATCGATGCAATGTGGAAATTTTCCAAAGGTGCAGTATCAACCTCTTGGAGCACACGTAAAGATGGTGCTGTGAACCCTCAGTTGCTTCAAGGAATTAGGATGTGGCAATGGCGATGGCAACATGGAAATTGCACAGACTTCCTCAGTCTCACCGGCCACGCTCTGAGCAAACGCTTGGAGAAGTGAGACGCCCAGAGGACTGGGAAAAAGCGACCACCCCGCCAGCAGCACAAAACCCTGTAAATACCACGTCATTCCTTCAAAGTCACTGAATTTCCCCGGAAAATTTAAGGTAATGTTCATCATAAAATGTGCACGGCGCCACGGAGCCAGAAGAGTTTTTTTCAAAAAGTGCTTAACCGCTAGCGCGGTTTCCCACCCGCCGGGATGTTTTTGATTATGTAGTGCGTGGTGTTTTTTAGGATATTATAAGGCCATGCTTGAGATTTTGTGAGGTGTTTTTGATTTTGTAGAGAAATTTGCTGAACCATGGTTTCATTCGATTTCATATGGTTTCAATTGGTTTCATACATTTATGCTCATGCATTTTTAATCATTTTCTGTGGCATTGAAATTTTGGAATTCATGTCAATATTTCAAATTTTGTAAAGGATGCTAAATCTTTTTCTATTGAAAAACTTTTGAATACATTTACCGACCATAATCGTACGTAGTTTTTCCCTGTTGTGGTTCCCGAGCTGGGCCACCCCGTTGCAGAACCTGATCCCAGTTGGCTTGGTGTCCTGAGCGCCCTGTGGCTCCGAGACCGCCTTGGCGTGTCCCAGCTCTCCGTTGGCACCCGTGCCCTGCGCTCTCTCCCGTTGAAATGATAAATGAATATAAGATAAGTTTATCTTTTTTAGCTTTTGTTTTCCCGCCATTTATATAGCTAACCGTTTTTCTCTTGAGAATAATTGCCAACAAAACATTCAATGCGCGGGCATGCGCGGGCAAAGGGGGCCCAGAAATGCGACGAGAAGCCGAGAAACCACCGGACAAACCGAGAAGCCGAGAAGCCGAGAAGTACGAAACAAGCCGAGAAGCCGAGGAGCCGCCGGGCAAGCCGAGAAGCCGAGAAGCCGAGAAGCCACCAAGCAAGCTGAGAAGCCGAGAAGCCAAGAAGCCCAACGAATGACGCGAATGAAATGAATGAAAGGAATAAGGATCGTCGATCAATCAAGAAAACCCGCTTCAGCAACCAGCATGACCGATTTAAGAAACCAAAATGACCGATGTATAAGAAACCAAAATGACCGATTCAGCAACCAAAATCGCGTCGCGATTCCAAAGCCAACTGAGAGGCGACCCAAAGACAAAAGGTCCGACTCAAAAACTTAAATGTGCGACTCAAGAACCGGAATGCACGATTCAGCAACCAAAACTTCCGAAACAAAAAAGTCACATCTTCAGCATCACAAGACATCAAATCCGCTTGCCCCCTCTGAATAATACGCTGCACCTTGAGCATTACAAGACATCATCCCCGCCACCCCCTCTGAACCACTATGTTGCATCTTCAGGGTCACAGGACAGTAGCCCTGGCACCCCCTCTGAACACTATGTTGCATCTTCACCATCACAAGACATCAACCCCCCACCCCCTTTGAACACTACGTTTTAGCTTTTTTTAAAGTCTCGTAAAAGGTGTTTTTAAAGCTTCTAGGCAAAAGGTGAACGTAGGGGGTACGAGTGCAAATGAACGTGGTGACGGACGTGCGTACGACCCAGCGTACGTGTAAGCGTACGAGTGGACGGACGCGTGGCGTACGAGTGGACGGACGTGTGCGTACGAGTGGACGGACGTGTGAGCGTACGTACGTGCGTCGACAAGTTCACTCGTCACGTGCGCGCGCACGTACGACGAGTGAACGTGTCAACGCACGTACGTACGCTCACACGTCCGTCCACTCGTACGTCACTCGTCCGTCCACTCGCACGCTTACACGTACGCTGGGTCGTACGCACGTCCGTCACCACGTTCATCTGCACTCGTCACCAGACGTAAGCTGTCCAAGATCACTACCTTTTACGAGACTTTAAAAAAAGCTAAACTATGTTGCATCTTCGAAGATCAACCCCGCGACCCCCTCTGAACACTACGTCGCCCCTTGAGGATTGCAAGACATCAGCCCCGCCACCCTCTCTGAGCACTATGTTGCATCTTTTGCATCATCACAAGACATCAGCCCCGCGCTCCCTCTGAACAACAGGTTGCACCTTGACCATCACAAGACATCAACCCCGGCATTCCCTCTGAAGACTATGTTGCATCCTCAGCATCAAACTAGGGAGTCTTTAGCGTTTCCTTAGGTTTCTTTAGGGGTTTCTTTAGGGGGTTCTGTAGGGGTTCTTTAGGGTTTCTCCAGGGGGTTCTTAAGGGGGTTCTTTAGGGTTTCTTCAGGGGTCTCTTTAGGTTTCTTAAGGTTTTTTTTTCTGCAGGGTTTGTTTAGGGTTTCTTTAGGGGTGTCTTTAGGGTTTCTTTAGGGGTTTCTTTAGGGTTTCTTTAGGGGTTCTTTAGGGGTTTCTTTAGGGTTTCTTTAGGGGTTTCTTTGAAACGAGAAATTGTGTGAAGGAAATCTTTCTATGTCCTTGCTAGAAGGGTCAAATCGTTCTGATGCAGCGCGTTCATCCTCTATTGACATTGGAAAATCAGATTGCGAAAACCGTGCAAACCGGGAAAATTGAACACAGGTTGTTTGAAAACGGCAAGGTGGTTCTTGGGTTAGCCACGTCCCATAACAAAGAAATGAAGCAGGTACGTGGAGTTGATCAGACTCCATATCAGTCGTGGCATAGCCCTCTTCGTTGGGCAACCAGCTATGCTCACGAGGTTGCCCCCCTGCTCGAACTTGGTTTTTGAAATGAAAGTCAAACAGAGTTGAAAATAGACCATGGACAACTCCTGCAAGCGAAAATTCCAACTTAGTCATCAACAAAAAAGACATCATCAGGTAGAAGTTTTACATCTCTTCAGATGTTCCACACACACGCCCCGCTGCCGCGAGGCTTTTTTATGGAGGTCACCACCAGTGAAGGGCTATTATCTGTTCCCTGAAGCAGGAAATGGCTTCAAAATACAGGGAAATAGGGAGATGAATTAGCTAAAAGGCTCAGTCGTCGTTCATGATGTCAGTCTTCAATGTCTGACAGGGCCTCCATTTGCATTCTCAGAGCATGCTGCGACAAAGTCTGTGTCGTGGTTGCCAAGTGGCTGGCAAGGTGGGCCAAGTCTTCCGCCGTGAAAATTTGACATGGATCGGTGGCCAAGTCGGATTGGTCCGTTTCAATCTTCTCAGGATCGCTGCATTGGCTTCTCTGTCATTGCTGAGAATGTCATAAAGGATACTCGCCAATTGGTGGATCTGACTTGGAACCGGTAATGCGCCAACGTTGGCCGCGTTGGACGTGTTGTCATCCATCACGGAATCATGGTGGGATTCTTGGTACGCCGATGTCTGATCAGCATTTTCAGACGATTGCCACGGCTGGTGCCAATGTTGGTAGTTGTCGTCCGGCACGGGAATGCCGTAGAAACGACGCCAGTAATTGGCAAGGCGAGTGGCTTGATGCCAGCTGTCTATATGTAGCCTCCATTTTCTGCTCTGACATGACCAACGATTCCATTGAAGAAGTACTCAGGTTGCCTGCTCCGTTCTTCTCCATGAAGATCCACTTCTGTCACTACCAGGCGGTCTGGTGTGTTCGATCCAGGTGGCGAGGCTATCTTCTTGAAGGTATGAGTATGTAGGACTTTGTTCTGATTCTGGATTTCTGA